GAACGTATATATGACGACAACCATCCAGAGTTAGCCATATATTTAAATAACCTCGGTATGGTGCTTCGAGATCTCAGACAGTACGAGGAAGCCAAGAAATGCATGGAAAGAGCAGTTGCTATTGCCGAACGTATGTATGATGACAACCATCCAAATCGCACATTATTTGTACAAAACATGTATGATTTGCGGAAACAAACAGAAGGCACAAATCTCCATCCAACATTGCAAAACTTGCAAGAGCTAGATGTACTAGTTTATATGCCTCTTGATTAGAACTGCATATATTCAGTAATGTACAACGTGTTTATGATGCCAAACATCCAAACGTAGAAACTTTTAGCAAAACATGCAAAATTTCGTAAGAAACAAACGACATGACGAGACGACTTTACAGTAGTAGTTATACCCGTAGTTTTATATGCGTACGTTATATGCCGTTTCTGTTAAACACAGAAAACATAATCAGCTTATAAGATCAAATCAAAGTCAGGTCACATGCATACGAAATTATGTATTTGATATAATTATTGTATATCAATTTTTCAATAACATTTTTTGGCAACGTAGGTCATTTAAGAAAAGTAATATCAGTCTTCTTTTATCAAGGAAGCATGTATTTTTAGTATTAAAGTAGAGATGTAAAGCACAAAAGAAGTTTTTTATCTTTTTCACAATAAATGATGTAAGATATAATTTTGAGCAAAATTTTGCTTGTGTGATTATATGCATTCGTGTTGTTTAAATCATCTGTTTCCCACAATTATAGACTGCTTTTTCAGAAAACATTGAATGTCATGCATTGCATTCCAAGACCACAATGCATTGTTGCTCAGTGGCGGATCCAGGGTTTTTCAAAACGGGGTCCAGATCAGGAAATAGATTGCTATGACGTCATATTGACGTCATATGATGTCATCTGAAAAGACCGTACTTGTACTACACATGCGTGCTGCATTTCAACACAGGTAGTCCTTCCAGTTGGTCGGGGAATGGTGAGGACTCGAACTGTTTGGAATACTTGAGCTTCGCAAATTACCAGTATGAAGCCAAAAATAAGCTATAACAACAGGAAACAACCTAAAACGTCTGTAATCTTTTTAATCAAAATTTATAAATTATATTTTTCTTTATATCCAAAAATGTAAACCATAAAACCTTAAAATTCAAAAAAAAAAAAATGGCGCTGAGGAAAAAAACCGGTGCAGCGGACCCCGTCGCACTACCCCTAGATCCGCCACTGTTGCTCTTAAACTCGTCGTTAGCTGTGTTACAAAATGACAGTTCAAAAAAAAAAAAATTAAATTAAAATTGCTTTCTTCCATTGAAGTTCTTGGCAGTTCGGGATTTGTATGGTCACCACGAATATTCATTTTGAATTACGATAGAGTGTCCAACAATGCTTTGCTGTCTTGGAATAAGCTATCTCATATCAGTATTCAACGTTGTTTGAAGTATCCGTTTAATCAGTTATACTACGAAGCCTTCGGTCAGCTGTCTTGTCAATAGTCTTTACGCAAGGGGGG